AGTTATGACATTTAAAATTAGGTAGGTTTTCAAGACCTACGTAGCTAAGTGGCTTATTTGAAAGTGACCACAAAAATCATGTAGGAGTCTGGGATTGCATCCTCTGGCAATAGTGTCCTTCTTTGGTGAGAAGGCTTTTAAAAATTTGCCCACTAATTTCTGATACATTTAAAAGTTTGAAGCCAAATTCTGTCTTTTGTTTATTAACCGAGGTTCCTCATTGAAATAAAGAAATTCTAACATCATAATACAATAATTTTTTGTCAGTAGAAATCGTGACATTAAGGCTGTACACCAGTGAGTGTTCACTCATATGGCAGTGTAATTACTCGTATGAAGACTTTACATTATTCTAAAAATGTATTTTGAAAAGCTTTAGAAATGAAAATTGAATGGGCTTACCTAGAAGTCTTAAGGCAGCAGATTTGGGATGTAACTGACTATTGAGAGCAGCATAAGCCACTGCTTAGAAGAGGTGAGAACTACCTCATGACATGCAGCACCTTTGATATTTTTAGGCTCTCACATGCTTACTAATGAAAACCTAAGTCATTCCCTCAATGTTATGTTACAGCTCAGAAAGGTGCCACCTGGGTGATTCCTGTAGCTGAATTGTGGTAACCATCTCCAGCACTGCTTTGGGCAGCTGTAGCAAGTGCAGCTGTAGCAGAGTGTCTCCAGCTTACCTGGACCTCATCTCTAGAAGTGGGGCTATCACTGTCATTTACAAAATCAGCCTCCTTAATGAGGTTGGCGGTGACCATTACTGTGGCTGCCAGCTAATACCAGCGGTGGTTATTTTTCTTGTACAAACAATTCTTCACTAGCAGCAGAATTCAGCCCTCCAAACTATTACTTTTCCTGGTGACCACACTCTCAAAGAGAGCCTACGGGTATTTCTGATCCTTTGGAGTAACACACTTTAGAGGGCAACAGAGAACTCCACGAGTAAGCCTTTTTAAGGAGAGAGTGATGGGGAATCTGACCTCTGAATTTCACAGATCTTACAGACACTGACAATATAATTCCCTGATTTGCAGAGGGATTGCCTTCCCCAGGTCTGTTCTCAGGATGAGGGATGAGTTATTAAATCTTTCGCATTTTAATATTTTGCTCTCTTCCCTGCCTTGGCACGTTTCACTTACTAGTGCTAAGGATTTGCTTCAGATTTCAGGTCATCTTTGGTCTCCTCTGAACCGTGCTAACAGATGCACACTGCCAGCCACTTAACAGGGACCCATCCATACACTGATTGTTAGCATGATCATCTGGGGAGAGGGGAGAGCTTCTCAAGCCTGCAATAGGAAGTAATTTGAAGCTGCTTGACTTACTGCTAGCACAGTTTTATCTATCTGCCTTTAAACTATTTTCCTAACACTAACTACAAGTAGCTTCTTAGCACAAGGGAGAGACTGTTGCCCCTTTCCCACTAACTAACATGATTAAATTTGTATTTTAAGAATCACTCAGTTATCAAGCCTACGTGATTGCTGTGTTCTTAAGCAAAGGCAAATAAATACAGTAACTTTGTCAAGCATCATCTCTTAACAGATGCCAGCAAGCTTTTTTTTTTTTTTTTTTTGCATCTCTGCAAAACATCAGCTTAAAAAGTTGCATTTGAATTGTAGACAGACAAAAAATTGTTATTCCTTTATGGTGGTGGAATTTCAGAATGCATGAATACTCATGTCCAACATCTGCTAAAAAAACCCAACACACACCAAAACTTCTTTCCTGGGAAAAAGCTAATCTGAACACCACATATAAAAATATGTTTAAACAGTAGGCTGAAGGTAAAGAATAGAACTACAGAGTTAACTACTAAGCTAAAAATACAGATGTGGATTTTAGTCAATTTACGAGCTTTTTAAAAAAAATGAGATAACACAAAGAACAGATGTATATCACTGTCTGTCCCCAGGAGAACCTTAACAAACCCACCAGTGCTAAGTGCCAATCTTGTTTCAAGTATAGGAAAAAGATTCTGAAGACCCCAGGAGTCAAGATGTTCACATCTAGGTATCCCCTGAGAGCTGCGACAGGCATTTGCCCCTTTCCTGGGGAGGACTGGATCATTACAGCTTCCCACATAAAGCACTGAAGTTTATCAAGACATATTATTACCAAAGCAGGGGCAGAATGGGAAAAAATGCCAGCATGGTTTTAATGCAGGGAAATGAGCTGTTCTGGGGCCCTTACCTCTATACTTTGTACTGAGCAGAAACACTGTTGATTTCAAAAGGATTTTTTAAAAAAACAAGACGTGCTGAAGTGACGAGGAGTCTCCCTGAGCAGGAATTTCATCATTACAGCTACTGCTTGCACATTTTTCAAGTTTAATGTGCTCTACATGGAAATAGACTTTAGCAACAATTTAACAAATCAGTGCTGATAGATTTTAATCTTTAATCCTGTCATATACTGTCTTTAATCATATCATCTGTTTTCCTCATGTGTCCCGTTGATGTGTATGTTTTATTTACAAGCTTAATAGATAATAGTGTCACTAATGAATATTTTGGCTAGATTTCAACCAGCTCACCAGGGACATTGAAAGTATACAAATGGCCATGCTGGGGGAAAAAATAATGCTAAACTGAAATATTCTAAGACATTCACAATGTAATTTTTTTAGTAATAGTGAACTAGTCTTGTTAGTGATTGAAAAATTAATTTCTGAAGTGGTGCAACTCATTGTACATAAAATAGCTTATTCTGAAAGGAAGTTATCAGATGGAACAGAAAATGGAACAGTGATGGAATTATATTAGAAAGGTGGCTCATAAAGGACTGAGTCTCCATTGATGGACAAAAGACTCATTAGAGCAATTTTGAAAGACTGTTAAGTATCAAGAGGTCTATATTTTTAGGAGAAAAGCCTTCTTTCATGTCCTTAGGTCTGGGACAATGAACAGGAAGTTTGAGCAGAAAGAACCTGCTGAATAAAACTGTAGGTTTTCTTCAGCACTGACTAAAACTGAATAAAAATTTGGACATAGCATTTTCTCTGATTATTTATAGTTTCAGTGGAGAATATTCAAATACTCAATTAATGAGTTTGTTTTCAATTTCCTCTCTCCTTTTAGAATATCAGCTATTTTAAAACTTAACTGTTGGGGGGGGGGGAAACCAAAAACTGTGATGGAAGTTTATAAAATAGGTGCTACATTTTACCAAATAAAGCTCATTATTTAATCATATCATTGTATATTTTAATACAGCCTTATTCCTAGAATAGGCAATAAAAGGCAGTCTGTCCTGTGAATATACAACAAATATTTTAAAAATTGATTACAGAAGATAGAGTAACTTTAGTCTTCTGTGCATATGCATTTTATTTGGCTTTAACTTCATACTCAATTAAGTTCTCTTGAAGACTAACTGTTAAATTTGCAGATGTTATTTATCCATTAACAAGGTTAACTGTAAAGATACACCACTACAATGACAGACTTGATCTGAAAGTGGAAACATGGTATGTAGCTGTCCAGACTTCCCAACATGCCAGAGGTTTTTAGCATTTCTCACCAAAGCACTTAATTTTACATGAGTCACTAGGGCGGCCAAAATCCATCTACACAGGCAAAAATGAGTGACAAGTCAGGAAAAATGAAAAATTTTTCACTGGTGGCTAAGAAGTAAGGAGAGGAAAAAAACATAAGGGACACCCTTCTTCATTATCTTCTCCCTAGCCAGAATGTGTATAATTGATGAGAAAGAAGAACAGATGTAGAATGGGGTAATGGAAGTGTAATATATGGAGTGGCAGTAATGCATCTCCCACTGTCTTTTTTGCACCAGTGACGTTCCTTAGCTCTCTTCAGGCCTGTTCTACAATAAAAGGCTTCTTCAGTCCTTCCTACTGAGGTATAACTGATTTACAGTATCTCTTATGCTAGCAACTGGCAGAGTAAAACAATGGATTTATCACATTTCATGGATTTTTTCTTCCACAACTATTCCCCAGAGTCATATTGGACTACTGAATTGATGTTGATTCATAAAGACTTCTACTGAATCTCAATGATCAGGATCTAACTTCCTTAAAGCTTGACTCAGAAATAACCTACGTAATTTATGACAAAACGGAGGAATTGCATTTCCAACATTATCAGGGCATCAGGAGGAAGTACCGAGAGAAAAAGCTGTAAATTGTATCAATATTAATTCTTCTTTCATTTAAGTGCTCCATGTCATAGGATACAGGCAGCACTATCAGAGAAATTTTATAAAATGTAATGAAATAGAGTCTGGTGGAATTGGTGAATATTCCTGGCTGCAACATTCTATCCAGATACATTTTTTATTTTATTCATTACATGAGGTCTCAACTAGCCACCGTATAAGTATATTCAGACTTTATCAGTATGTCCATTACCACAATGTATTGTTTGATTGATTTTACTAGGGGAACTCAGGTATTTCCTCATCATGTGTAAAAAGGATCTAAGAGAACTTATCCATTAACATTTTCGTCTTGATTTTTTTCAACATAAGGGAACAATAATCCACATCCATACCATAATTTTCATATATTCTCTACATGACTTTTGTTTGGAAGACATTATAATTTGAGCATTTTGAAAAAGATTTTAAATCTGTGTCTGAGGTAGTTATCACTCAGTATTAAAAGAAGTATTTTAGTATTTTAAAAGGCTTAATTTTTCAGAGGAAACATAATTCTTAAGAGCAAGCTATTTTTGAAATTCACAGGTCTTTCCGTCAAAAGGTGCTAACATGAACAAGTGTTTTATAATCACTTTATGAAGAAAGGCCACTTGCTTACAGAACTTTCACTTTTGCTCATGAAATAAGAAAAACAAGGTCTGACTTTATGTGAAAAAAACTTTAATTAATTAATTAATATTAATTTAAATTTGCTGTGGCAAGAATGACTTTACATCAACTGTTTCCTCAATTTTTTAGCATAAAACTAAAGTGAATTAATGAATAAAATGAAATTAATAAAAAATAAATAAAACTTTAGTATACCAAATGTTTATGAACATTGCTTTATGGAGTCTATTAGTGTAATTACAGCAGCTACAGAAGAATATTGTCTTTCTAACAGGCCGTTGTTTTAGTAATAATAACAATAAATTTCAGAACTCATAAAAAAATATAGAGATGTGTTACAGAAGCAAAATTTTAGGTTTGAAACTACAGTTGGATTATTACTTGCAAGTCACTATATTTCTACAGACACTACCATCTTAGGATCCTTGCAGTGGCAAAATAACTCTGGTTGTATGTAGTATTTTCAAATCCCCAGTGTCACATAAGTTTGATTTCAGACCTGATGATATGAAAAGGCATTGGTAATTGGCTTTTTCTTTGCTCAAACTGTTGCTGAAAAAAGGTAAACAAAACTGTATCAAGCAAGTAAGCACAGTCTGAACTCTTAAGAAATGTGTTATTTTCAGAAGGGAGATTTGAGAATACATGCACAACAGTTATTGAATAATCTTAGAGCAACATTTTCATCATCTGTTTCTACCTTCCACTCGTTTCAAGTTGAGCTATTCTCAAGTCTCATTCACTCCACCGGGACTTGAAAATATTGAAGAACACCTTCCAGGATTTATTTTCTTAAGGCCATTATTTGTGTTTGGCAAGATGATCTTACTGATTGCTTTGGTTACCTTGACATTTTTGCTGTAATACAGTTTAGGTGGAGTTACATGAAAAAACAAGACAAAAAATTCAGTATCACAGAGCATAGTGGTAAATGGAAGGACACAAGCTTATTACTTTGTGTTCCCAGTGATGAAAAATAAAATACCATCTGTATTTAGCAGCAGTATCTATAAGGTTCTGAATATAGTTCTAAGTAAGCCCCTGTTTGGGGCTGATGAAAATCAGACAGACTGGTTTAGGCTGTTTTTTGCATGAACTATCCAATGCAAAAGCTGATTTCTGCCTACTCCATCTTCACTTACATTTTAGTTTAGCAGTCTGGTTCTGTATATTGCCATTCATAACCAGCCAGTTCACTGATTCACAGTCCTAGGCATTTCCAAGTGGATCAAGCCTCATAGATTTAAAACAAACAAACAAGCAAACAAATTAACAAAAAAATCCCCAAAACCCAAACAATGGGAAAAAAAGCAAAATGTTCTACATAACATTACACATTGGCACCTGTGGCATACCATTTCCTGCAGGGTTCCAGTTTTTGTAGGTGTTTTTGCTAGTATTAGGACCAGTAGCAGTCTGTCATTCAAAGAGGATGATCAGTGAGTTCTTAGCAATGACCAGTTTAAACTCCTCACTAGATACTCAGGTTAATGGCTGAAATCTGTTGCTATGTGTCTAGGGTAAGAATATTATGGTTTCTGTTTGTCATTTGTGAAGGTCTGAGTGTAAATTTGGTAATATCTGTAAACAAACCAAACATCCACTAAAGCTTTTGCACAGAACATAAATCCTGTACTTTGTTTCTTTTGACAGGATAATTGAAGCTATCTGCATAGGCTGGTTTACTGCAGAGTGCATTGTGAGGTTCATCGTCTCCAAAAACAAGTGTGAGTTTGTCAGAAGACCACTCAACATCATTGATTTACTGGCAATTACTCCTTACTACATCTCTGTTCTAATGACAGTTTTCACAGGGGAAAATCCGCAGCTTCAGAGGGCTGGAGTCACCTTGAGGGTCTTAAGAATGATGAGGATTTTTTGGGTGATTAAACTGGCTCGTCATTTCATTGGCCTTCAAACACTTGGTCTGACTCTGAAGCGTTGTTACAGAGAGATGGTGATGCTACTTGTCTTTATCTGTGTTGCTATGGCAATTTTCAGTGCACTTTCCCAGCTTCTTGAAAACGGGCTGGACTTGGGAACAAAGAATAAGGATTATGCCAGCATTCC